AACAACAAACTTAGTAACTGGATCACAAGATGAAAAGAAAAAGTCTAAAAAAGAAAACTAATGCAGACATCACATCTAAGAATTAGTGATCTGCAATATAATAAATGCTTACTTTTTGGTTTATTACTGCTTTAAGTTTTTTTTTTTTTCTAGATTACTGTACAGGGGCACAATGCAGCAGTATTACTTGGTGGTTAGCAGCACCACCTTGCAGCACAGGGGTTCTGGTTTAGAATGATCTTTTTTTTCACAATGCCATACATCTGCAGTTTGAACACATGGATAAGTAAAACTGAACCAGTGATTTGGGCATGCAAGGGTTCATTTTAATGCCCTCCTCTCCAGCAGCTTATACTCGCCTTGCTTTTTTACCCAGGCTAATCCATTTAGCTTCTAGGAAAGCGATAAACCCCTCTAGTCGGATCTCCATTCAGAGGTCACATAGGGCTGGTTGTCTGCTTAGCACTGGACTAATCACCAAACACCAGTGCTGCCACATGTGGTGAGTCATATGCTTCTCATACCCAGAAGTACTGTGTATTTCCTTTATTCCTGGTGGCTCAGCAGAGCAGTGGGAGAGAGGAGGAAAGGACAGCATGTGCTGCTGGGGTGCATTTAAGCAAATATTTTTTCTGACCCTTGCATGGGCAAAATATATATATTCGCTTTAAAGGGGTTTCCTTTCTTACCCCAAATGGACATCCTTAACTCAGACCCCACCCCATTTTTAGCATCAGGGCCATGATATCAGAAATCACCTACTGGTGAAACATGGTATGGCAGCTTACTCAAATCAGCATAATGGGACTTTTTCATACATTGTCATATTGGGCCTGAAACAAGAGGCTACTGCCTCTTTTATAATAAAAGTGGCCCTGTCGTTGAGTTATGAAAACAAAAATAAACCCATCCTTTAAAAGAATAAGGTAAATATTTACTAATCACTTACTATTGTATCCAACACTTCCAGGTTTGTTGAATAAGGAAATGGCAAAAAAAAGTTGCACAAAAAGTGCAAAATAAAATGAAAAAAATGCCCCTAGCAAAACAATCAGATCAATTGTGTACAAATAAACATAAATACATTGCCGTGCTACACCATCATTATTAATAAATGAGTGCATAAATAATGAAAGTTGTGTGAAAAAAACATCAAGTCCCGACTGAGAAAGCTGTAAAAAAAAAAAGTCCCAATATTCTGTTGAAGTGTAATCAAACACCACGTGTCTTCAAATCAAACAAGTGCACCACCACCAAGTATTGGTAGGACTCTTACCGGAACATATGGACCCTTAACCACTTCAAGTCGGGACACTTTCACTCCCTTCCTGTCCAGGCCAATTTTCAGCTTTCAGCCCTATCACACTTTGACAACTGCACAGTCATGCAACACTGTACCCATACAAATTTTTTAGCATTTTTTTTTTTTTAGACATAAAACTTTATTTTGGTGGTATTTATTCGCCACTGGGATTTTTATTTTTTTTTGCTATATAAATGGAAAAAAAAGTGTTTTTCTTATAAAATTTAGCAAATAAATAATATTTCTTCATAAATCTTGGCCAAAATGTATTCATCTATCTTTTTAGTAAAAAAAAAAAAAAAATAATCCAAATTAGTTTATAACCAAAAATTATATTTTTCTAAAATTTTCAGACATTTGTATTTCATTTATTTATATTATAATTTGTGTTGTTTTTTTTTAACATACTGTCACCCTAGCAGTACAGTGTCACAATAGTGACACTGTGCTACTTGTGGGGGGTGATGAAGATTTCTTTTTTTTTTAACACTGATTGCTTTTACACCCATAAAGGCTATAAAAGCAATCATTTTCTCCTTCTCTCTAGCTGCATTCTTGCAGCCATTGAGAAATACTGTGTGAGTTGTGATTGGTCACAGCTTGTCACATGGTACAAGGCTGTTGTGAATATCCTTGTAGCATGTGACCTCTGTGATCATTTACAGATTTCACTAGTAGTAAGCAATGATGTCAGAAGTGATATCTTGCTTACTACTATTAATGTGATCACTGATTGGCCAAGCGGTGATGACATGATTGGGACCTCACACAGAGGTCCCGTACAGCGAATGGTGTTCCGCTGTGTCCTCAGGACACAGCGGACACCGGATCGCAGTGCAGTGCGCTCCCAGGGAGCAAGCACAGTCAGGGAAGTGGGGAGGACTTTTATAAATGGCCACCCGCCCTGCAATGCTCCTATCCGGCCGTTTATATACATGGGCCGGACAGGAAGTGGTTAAGCTAATAAGAATCATAAACACATGATTGTAAAAGCCTGGAGATGTGTATGTGAGTGGAAAGGATTCTTTCAGACTATCCCCAGTCTATATACCTCTCTGATGTATGTATTCAAAATGACTGTGTGGTGTGTTCTCTCCCAAGCACAGCCTCCATTGCCTCCAGATTTGTTGAATACCTGCACCCCCAACGCACACTGTGGTTCCTCCCGTCTGCTTCTACATCACCACAGGACATAGAAGGCAGAGGAAGAAACCATAGTTTGAGGCAGGGGGAGCAGGTATTCAATACATCTGAAACCATGGGATACCTGCAGCAGCGGGTGATCAGCAACTTGGAGGTCCTTTTTAGAGGAATGACTTACTTTAAATTTTTTTACAATTTGCTAACAGGGTCGCTACAAAGGAAACCAGCAATGAGAAAGCATGGAGTGTGCCAATGCTGACCCGTCCTTCTGAAAATACCTTATCACTGGTTGTTATCCTGATGCAGTGGCTTCAGTGATTTTTTAGTCACTACCTAGGAATAAGTATGGAGTTAGGAGTTCTCAGTTTCCTGATCTGTATGTGTACAGAAAGTATTGAAGCCAGTGGCAGCCAGGCAACTAGCATTTCCAAAACAGCTTAACAATAGCAACCTAGAATAGCTTCTGTAAAAAGTTTGCATAGTGTGTTGGTACTAAATATGTAGATACAAAGAACTGGCAGATCCATGACATATGAGCCTAAACCTAGGAAAGGAGGATTAATGGACAGGTGGTCTGCTGCATTACTGTATTTCATGTACATGTAAGTTCAAATTACTTATAGACTATGCTGGACCACATATAAAGGGTAACTTTTGCATGCATAAACCACATTCCCATTGTGTTTTATAGTGTCTTTGTGAACATCCTCCTTTGAAAAGGGTTAAATGAAACATTTTGTTTTAGAGAGAGATTAGGCACATGTCCAGGGGCAACATGCATAATCTTTTCCAGTACTGCCAGAGTGACGGATGTGGCAATTAAACAGAAAAATGTGCGGCAGTTAGTACACTGCTGGGGATATGTGGAATGTGACCTCCGGTACATAGTGTCACCACAAACTGCAGTTTACCTAAATGTATATATAAACCCAATCACTAAGAACTCACATTAGATTCAACAGATTACTGTTATTTTTAAAAATCATTTTCAATCATTTTAAATGTGCATCTTTCAATAAAATGCCTAATAAGTTTGGCTTGTGCAGGCACTTCCCGTTATATGGTGACAATGCTTTGTCCCTGTCTCCCAACTGGATTTCCACAATGTCACCTATCACACAGGATTCTGATAGAGACCACGAGTATCCACCCTAACTGCTGTAGCTGCAGGCACTGTGGAGTCATTCATCCCCAAAGTTCATTGCAGAATCACTGAAGTTCTTCTCATCTTTTTCTCGGCAGCTTAGCTCATAATGTTCCCTCTTCTCAGCAGTTTAAACAATTTAAATAAAATCCAGTGGGCTCTCTTTGTTCAATAGCTTTTTTGGCACCTTTTTGTATTTGCAAATATGAACTGTGATTGGTATTGAACACGGATAATGTGTTTATTGTGAACTAAAGCCTGTCACATACAGGCAGATGTTATAGGTATTTGCTTATCCTTGAAGTAATAACTATGCAACTTGTGACACTGCATATGTATTTGTTCTGTGCAAATTGAATGGGACTAGGCTATTTTCCTTCTAGGCCAGATGTATTTTCATTCATAAGAATAGCTTGAATGAGGAAAATACTGAATTGTAGCCACTATATGGAGCTGATAACCATTGGAAATAAATATTTATCATCCTATGATCATCAGCTCCATCTAGTGGCCATAATACAATATTTTCCTGAAATACCCCTATCGGGAAATACTTTATTATGGCCAGTAGATGGAGCTGACTATCAATGGAAGTAAACATATTACACAAATTATGGTGATTATTCATGACAGCTGTATGAATGCTGGAGATGTTTGCAACATTTGCACACTTTTTTTAATAAATAAACTCCGAAATGTCTCTACTGACATACCTGATCATTCATCAGACCTGGGCTGAACCAGTTTTAATGAGTCAATTGGACAAGATGGATTTTCACAGCTTTTCACAGCTAGATTCCTCTGACATAAGCCGACACATCCAGCTTGTCCTCTCCCTCTTCCATACATACAGCTTAACCTGGTACAAACTTGCATGCATCTAGCGGCCATTAACCACTTGCCTACCGGGCACTTATACCCCCTTCCTGCCCAGGCCAGTTTTCAGCTTTCAGTGCTGTCGCACTTTGAATGACATGCGGTCATGCAACACTGTACCCATATGAAATTGTTCTCATTTTTTGAGACAGAGCTTTCTTTTGGTGGTATTTAATCACCTCTGGGTTTTTTATTTTTTGCTAAACAAACCAAAAACAACTGCAAATTTTGAAAAAAAAAAACATGTTTTTTTCTTAGTTTTTGTTATAAAATTTCGTAAATAAGTGATTTTTCTCCTTCACCGATGTGCGCTAATGAGGCTGCAGTGATGGGCACTAATAGGCTGCACTGATGAACACTGATAGGTGGCACCGATGGGCACTGATGAGGAGGCACTAGTAGGTGGCAGTGATGAGCATTGACAGGCATCACTGATGGGCACTGAAAGGCAGCACTCATATATGGCACTGACTGGCACTCTTAGGCGGCACTGATAGGCAGCACTGACACGCACTGATAGGTGGCACTGATGCGCACTGATGGGCGGCACTGACTGGCACTGATCGGTGACACTGAAAGGCAGCTCAGATGGACACTGATATATAGGTGGCACTGACTAGCACTGATAGGTGGCACTGACTGGCATTGATATGTGGCACTGAAAGGCAGCTCATATGGGCACTGATATGTGGCATTGATGTGCACTGGTAGGCACTGGCAGGTGGCATTGATGAGCACTGACAGCTGGCATTGATGGGCACTGACAGCTGGCACTGCTGGGACTACACTGATCATCAGGGCACACTTATCATCAGTGCCCTGATGATCAGTGTACATGTCCCTTCTGAGGAATGCCGATTAACGGCTATCCTCTCCTCTCGAGCTGTCAGTGTCACAGCTCGTGAGAAGAGAAATGCCAATAACCGGCATTTCCCTATTTACATTGGACACAACTGATCACATGACCGAGCCGACATCTTCAGCTCATTCTGTTGATCGGTAATCTGCTGTGTCCGAGGGACACAGCGCACCACTGATCGCCGCGCTGTGTGCTCCTGGAGCCGCGCACACGCAGTTAGAGTGGGAGGATGTCAAATGATGTCCTCCTAGAATAAGAGAACGGCCTTGCTCCCATCATTACCTTATATGGCTGGCGGGAGGTAGTTAAACAATATTTTCCTGAAATACCCCTATCCGAAAATACTTCATTATGGCCACTAGATGGAGCTGACGATCATTGGAAATAAACATATTGCACAAATGATAGTGATTATTCATGGCAGCTGTATGAATGCTGGCTATGCTTGCAACATTTGCACACTTTTTTTAATAAATGCACTCCAAAGTGTCCCTACTGACATAACTGATCATTCAACAGACCTGGGCTGAACCAGTTTGAATGAGTCAATGGGACAAGATGGATTTTCACAGCTGATTGTAGATTCCTCTGACATAAGCCGACACATCCAGCTTGTCCTCTTCCTCCTCCTTACGTGCAGGTTAACCTGGTACAAATTTGCATGCTTATATAAGGATTGTTAACAAGATCGATCTTTTTGTGGTTGACGCATGCATGGCTGGCTACAATCTACTGCCTGCAGGACCAGCATTCGGTCTCTCAGACGCCTCGTGTAATGGCAATTAGCCTAAAAGCATAAAATTATTATTTAGAATTACACTTGATGACACTGGAAATGGATTATGTGCCGGCTTAACAGTTTACAAATCTACAACCGAAGAGGTGCTTTATGCAAATCAAAGCAATAAATATAGTAGCTCTTGAGTAACATCATGTTTTATAACTGCAGACATTTACCATCCCGTATGAAGATCCCTGGTGGCTACCGACTATTACAGTAAAACATCCCATCTGTCCAAATGCTGAATAGATGTTATTGTATGCGGCCAAACTTGGTAAATCGGAATTTACAAAAATCCTTTGACTCATGTGGTTCTTCTGGGAAAAGAGGTCGGAAGTCTGTGAAAGTATGTGCGTGAGATCCTGGGAAAATATGCACTTTATAACTCTGCAGAATGCAAATTGCCTTTCTCAGCCAGAATGAAAACAGTTTTTTTTTCTGGCCATTTGAAAGAATTCCACTGAAAGTCGGTTTTTGTGAACAAAGGTGCATTTGCCATTATTCGGTTTCGGACCATTGGCATCAAGTAACGCATTTGTTTGGATTCTATGGAGGTTTAATAATGATGGCACTTTCTTTCAGGTTTGTTAATCAGATCTCTGGTACTGTGTATGCTCTGGCAGGTTGTACTAGGGACTGTTATGAGAACAGGGACTTCACACATTCATTTCTAGGGAATTGTGGTTTAAAAGGGATATATTGATTTAAACCAAGGAGCTGTTACAGTAGCCAGGTATACACTCTTTTAATGTTTTACCTGTGCTCCTTGTGGAAAAGTGATCTGCAGTTCACTGTCTACCATTTTTATACTCTAAGGGCTCTTTCACAATGGTGGCTGGGGGAGGGAGGTTGAAGACAGGCGACTGAGCCATGGCTTTACTGCCCCACAGCCACCCACCGAAATGCTAGCAATACAGCTTGACAAGGCTGTACACTTGCTGTGGCCACAATGCCTTGTTTTGCCTCTGATGCATTTTCTATCAGGTTCCAGGCACTTGACTTTTGAGTTCAATGGGAGCGCATCACATCCATAAGCCAAGCACTCAGTTGCAGTGCAGATTTATTACTACAAAATCCCCTTCTGATTAAAAAAAAAAGAAAAAGCAGATGTTCAGGAGGCAGCAGGATCGCCTCATGATTGCCGGTCATCTGTTGCTATACCGTCCTCTGAAAAACAATCCATTGAGATCAAGAAACGTTTTCCAGCATGTCCCTTTGACAGAATTTGTCAAATCAAACAACCCACTTCTGTTGAGCTGGTATGGCCTCACACTAATGGGAATTTGGCTGATCCCTGCTCTACCGGCTGACTTTTGCTTAGTGTATGTGCTGTCATTGGCTGAGACAGCAGTGGGAGAGCCAATTGGCTCAGTCACAGCCAGTGAGCCAATGAGGAGAGAGCGGGGGGGGTGTAAGTATGTATACTTATTTTCAGGCTGCTCCTGTGATCCTGTGATCCGGCTCCCCTGTGTTAGCCAGCACAGTTGTAGGAGAGAGGAGGGACCAACAACAACTGAAGGGCCATTGAAGCCTATGGATGACGTCACCATTTCAGGCTTTACTACTCATTGTCGGAGTGCTCTCTCCTCTACCCTGCAGTGCCCTGGCTGGCACACTGGAGATCACCTGACTGGGGTGGGCTGAAAATAGTTAAGAATACAGATTGTTCTTACACAGGTTAGTAAACATACTGTAAGTGTTAGGAGGAGAGAGGGGACAGTTTTAGGAGTAGCTAGGGTTAAGCCTGGACTTCCACCTTAAGGAAAAACTTTGCCTCATTCCTTTATACAAAATGATGTTGCTTAATGTTTATTTTTGGTTGAATAATCTGCCTATCAGATCATTCTACTGTATTTCAATGGAATTGAAATGTAGCCCACCCATGCTAAAATATGGAATTTAAAGTGGAACTTCACTCTTTCAATCATCATGGACTATTTCTAATCCTTGCGCTGCTAGTACTAGTAAATAGATAGGAAAGTATATAATATTTACTTGTTATAGCCTTTTTTTTTGCATTCCTTCATTTACTTCCTGGTTTTCACGCCTAGACAAATGGGGGTTTATTTACTAAAGCTGGAGAGTCCAAAATCAGACTCCCTTCTGCATAGAAACCAATCAGCTTCCAGGTTTCATTGCCAAAGCTTCATTGAACAAGCTGAGGTTAGAAGCTGATTGGTTTCTATGCAGAAGGGAGTCTGATTTTGGACTCTCCAGCTTTAGTAAATAAACCCCATGATGTCATACATTCCAGGAGTCTTCAGGAGGGGAATGAGGGTTCTCAGCTCAGCCAATGCCTGAGCTAAAGAGAGATGGATTCCAGAAAGCAACTCCTACATGAATCATCTGCCCTTACTCAAGATGGTCACTGCCAGAAATGCCAGAAGGTGTTTTTCAAAAGGATTTCTCCGCAAAATAAAGCATGGAAACATAGATGGATGAGATTGTCATGTTGCATGATCCTACTTTTATATGAGTTTAAGCAGAACTAACTGAATCTGATCATCACAAACATCATTTTTAATATTCAGAGCAAACTCACCTATCCATCCATGTTTCCATGCTTCATTTTGTTGAGAAATCACTAGCATTTCTAGTCACATCTATCTTGAGTAAGGTCAGATGATTCATGTAGCATTTACTTCCTGGAATCCATCTGCCCTTAGCTCAGGCATGTCAGCGGGAGGGTGTGTTTAACTGAGAAAGCCCCCCTCCCTTCCACCCAATGAAACAAAAATGCCCATGAAGACTCCTGGGATGTAGGACATCATTTTGGCCTAGGCCAGAATTCAGGAGATAACTGAAGAAATGTAAAAAAAAAAAGTTTAAAGAAAGTAAAAATAATTTACCATCCTATCTTTTTGCTAATGCTAGTAGAATAAGGATTAAAAATTAATGTTGATAAAGAGAGTTTAGTTGCACTTTAAGACACCCTGATGTTCTGTAATGATACTGATATATACAGTGCCTTGAAAAAGCATTCATACCCCTTTAAATTTTTTTACATTTTGTCATGTTACAACCAAAAACGTAATGTATTTTATTGGGATTTTCTGTGATAGACCAACACAAAGTGGCACATAATTGTGAAGTGGAAGGAAAATGATAAATGGTTTTCAAAACTTTTTACAAATAAATATCTGAAAAGTGTGGCATGCATTTGTATTCAGCCCCTTTTTACTCTGATTCCCCTAACTAAAATCTAGTGGAACCAATTGCCTTCAGAAGTCACCTAATTAGTAAATGGCATCCACCTGTGTGTAATTTAATCTCAGTATAATTACAGCTGTTCTGAGAAGCCCTCAGAGATTTGATAGAGAACGTTAGTGAACAAACAGCATCATGAAGGCCAGGAAACACACCAGACAGGTCAGGGTTAAGGTTATGGAGATATTTAAAGTAGGGTTAGGCTATAAAAAAAATCCCAAGCTTTGAACATCTCACGGAGCACTGTTCAATCCATCATTCAAAACTGCAAAGAATATGGCACAACTGCAAACCTACCAAGACATGACCGTCCACCTAAACTGAAAGAAGCAGCAAAGAGGCCCATGGTAACTCTGGAGCAGCTGTAGAGATCCACAGCTCAGGTAGGAGAATCTGTCCACAGGACAACTATTAGTCGTGCACTCCACCAATCTGGCCTTTATGGAAGAGTGGCAAAAAGAAAGCCATTGTTGAAAGAAAGCCATAAGACGTCCCGTTTGCAGCTTGCAAGAAGCCATGTGGGGGGCACAGCAAACATGTGGAAGAAGGTGCTCTCATCATATGAGACTAAAATTGAACTTTCTGGCCTAAAAGCAAGACGCTATGTGTGGCGGAAAACTAGCACTGCACATCACCCTGAACACACCATCCCTACCGTGAAACATGGTGGTGGCAGCATCCTGTTGTGGGAATTCTTTTCTTTAACAGGGACAGGGAAACCGGTCAGAGTTGATGGGAAAATGGATGCCAAATACAGGGCAATCTTAGATGAAAATCTGTTAGAGTCTACAAAAGACTTGAGACTAGTGCAGAGGTTCACCTTCCAGGAGGACAACGACCCTAAACATACACCCAGAGCTACATTGGAATGGTTTAGATCAAAGCATATTCATTTGTTAGAATAGCCAGTCAAAGTCCAGACCTAAATCCAATTGAAAATATGTGTCAAGACTTGAAAATTGCTGTTCACAGACGCTTTCCATCCAATCTGTTAGAGCTTGAGCTATTTTGCAAAGAAGAATGGGCAAAAATTTAATTCCCTATGTGCAAAGCTGGTGGAGACGTCCCCAAAAAGACTTGCAGCTGTAATTGCAGCGAAAGGTGGTTCTACAAAGTATTGACAGGAGGGCTGAATACAAATGCACGCCACACTTTTCAGATAT